CAACACACTACGCTACGCTAACAGGTGGGGTTGAGATAACCCACTCCAGTGATTTGGACAGTATCTTCTTGCTACAGGAACTTCTTGGATTATTCACCTTTATAAAATTTTAGCTCTTTTGGATTCCTCTGTAATGTCCAGTGGCTTTTATAGAATCTGAAATTAGCTGTACTACTCCAAATTTCTCTGCTTACTCTTGTTCGTTCTGACTCTTGTATCCTCTTCCCTTTTTTTTCCTACTTTCTTTCCTTCTTGTTTCCCGCCCTCTGCTGCCCTGTGTGCTGGTATGATGACTGTGTAGAGTGAAGGAGTTTGGGATTAGTCCGTCAGACATCCCCTTCTCCCAGAGCGGTCAGGGAAGCCGCCCTGAGCACTCGCCCACCAATACCTTTGAGTATGATGACTTTGCTGCTACCTCTCCCAGCAGGTCAAGCACTCCCCAAAGCACAGCACCACACGCACAAATACACACAGTGCATGCTGTCCCTTTGTGTATCTAATGCATTATAAAAGACACCCATGAGCTCATTTATCAGCTCCTCACTGCGCTACACTTCCTGTCTTCCCCTTTCTGTTTTTCATCTGCATGTTTTGATGTGATTCATCTTTTCATCCCTGCTTTGACTTTGATCTGAACTGTAGACAAAACTTTTTTTTTTTAAAAATTGTGTTGCTAAATCCTGAAGAACAATATGTCTGTCTGTGTGGGTGTGTCTTTTATTTGCTCTGTTGTTTCATCGCTGTTCATGCCCCGGATGTCAGGGATAACTGCGATAGCTGGGTGTTATAAGCCAGAATGCTGGTGCAAAACTCGACTTTTAGCTGTTTGGCAAATGCATCCACGGTGAGCTTTTGTTTGAGCCAAACACTCAGCGGGTAATCCCTTATCCCGGCCGTAGTCCTAATTAATTGGCGCTGGCACCTGCAGGTTGGGTACAGTGCTGTAATCCCTCATCAGCTCTGTGAGAACCTAGTTAAACATGAGCTCTGAACACCCAGACTCCAGTTACCATGAAAACTGATATCTGGAAATTGAGCATTGTCATCTGTGCCTGTGCATGACATCACTGCTGTCATGAAGCTGCCATGCTGCACAAACCATGAACCGCAAACCAAACATCAGCCTTGTTAGGAACAGGTCTGACCTGTGGTCGCTGCGATCTGATGTGTTTCTTTATTTCTTCTTTTGGTCTGCAGGGTAAAGGAGCTAACGGTGGACCCCAACCAAGTGATGGAAGGGGGACGCCCCAATATCCATGCTGTCAACCAGCTGGATCTCTTGGATGAAGAGTGGCTGAGCATCTCACCACAAAGAGACGACCTTAAACTTCTCTGTGAGCAGAATGTAAGTGCTCACAGTTGATTATTTGAAGCACAGATCAGACTGTTTACATCTGGAACTTATATCTGAAAATAGGGCTGCTGTGGAACAGGAAGTAAAACAAGGCTGTATATTACTCAGTAGTTCAGTCCCTGACTCCTACAAGGTGCAGTCAGTGCAAGATACTGGTATATGAGCACTAAGTACCAGCCCATTTACCATATCACAGCTGCCACGTATTTCACTACCCCTACACTACCCCAAGTGTTTTTGGATTAACATTCAAACTTTTATTTATCAGTGATGAAGGTGAGGTCCACTGATAACCAGATTTCAGAAATGATCTCTGTGCTGTAGCTTTTTGTTAAGTCCGTTTAATTTAATAATTTTAAGAAAATTAGATTTTTGACTAAAATGCGTCACACAAAAGAGTGAGATAATATAATAATAACACAAATAGAAGAACTCAGTCTGGTTTAAAACCCAAATAATAAACATGGGTTTTTACTCAGGTTTAAAGAATATTTGTTTGTTTGAGACATCGTGACATATAAAGGGAAAGAAGCCACAGTTTAGAAGTAGCTATTTAAAAATGCCTGATCTCCTTTGTTTAAATCTGGATCTTGCTGCTGGATCTGTAAACACAGGAGGAAGAAGTGTCTCCTCAGCTCTTCACCTTCCATGAGGCCGTGTCACAGTTGGTGGAGATGGAGGAGCAGGTCCTAGAGGACCACAGAGCTGTTTTCCAGGTTAGAAAACACTCCAGCTCTCCTCGTTTCTTTCTTTTTCTTTTTCTCATACATACTTGTATGAATCCAGATAAATTGCAGCTCCTGACAGTGAATTTATAACTTCTCTTTGTTCTCCTCTGAGCAGGAGTCTATCCGGTGGCTGGAAGATGAAAAGGTGCTGCTGGAGATGACAGAGGAGGTGGATTATGACGTGGAGTCTTACGCCACGCAGCTGGAGCAGATCCTAGATCAAAAGATAGAAATCCTCACTGAGCTCCGAGGTATGCCCGAAACTTACACGCACATCACTTAACAATAAAATACAGCCCTCCTGCTACATTTTTTAAATGTGTGAAATGCTTTTGCTCTCCTCAACAGATAAAGTGAAGTCATTCCGCTCTGCACTGCAGGAGGAGGAGCAAGCCAGTAAGCAGATCAATCCCAAGAGGCCACGTGCTCTTTAGAGTCTGAAGAGGTTTAAGTGGCGCGTTGAGAAACATAACCACTAGATGTTTGGCACAAGTCGAGCTGACACTAGCAGCTGTGAAAACACAAATTAAAGGACTGTCTAATGTACCAACAGGCTCAATGAATATCGTTTGTTTTGATCCCTCTAGTAACAGAAACTGGCTCTCCACTCACTCTTTGGTCTTGTTAGAAAACTGGAAGGAAACTAGTTTTTATTTCCTTCCACTTTAGATGATTTTTTTTAAATGGAGAATGTTTAGTTTCCTTTCCTTGTACTTAAATTATTTTTCTTTTATACCCGTTTGTACTTCCTTTGAACTAAAACTTTTCGACCGGTTTTCAGAGGAGATCTCAGTTGAACATGCTTCGAAGTTTACTACACAAAACCAGTATTTGATTTCTGGTTTGCTCTGGCTGACATTTCTGCATGTTCACTCTGTGATAGCTTATGTACACCACTGTTTCATGGTCCGGGGGTCCCCCCAGTCGGCATCGTAAAGTCATACTTCATTGTAAGTAATCTCTTCTCCCTTTCCCTTCCTTCTCAAAGTTTTTACCAGTTTGGAGGAAGCGTTAAACCACATTGTGTTTCTTTCCTTCTGTCATCCCTGACAGATTTTTACTTGTAGTTTGCTACAGTCTGTGCCATGTGGCAACTGACTCAAAAAACTCTTAATGTAAAACATGTTTTCCACCCATTTAACACTTTGTTAAAAAAATGGAACTAGAAAAACTATTAATAAATGTATAGTGAAGATCACTGACCTATCATTGGTTATGTTGCTCAGTGTTTGCACCAGATGTAATGCTGGAAGAATTAATAAAAAGTCATGTTTCATTTCAATGACCCAAATTATCTTTATTTGCCACAAACATAAAGTCAAGTTTGAGTAGAAATTGAGCGTCTAAAGGTGGGCTCCGCTTCACCACCTCGAATTTGACTGCGCTACTTTAAGTTTTCCCATCAGGGCGAGTTCAACACAACCGTATCTCTCCGCTGTCTGGATTCACTTATCCTATCGCTGATGATCAAGATAAGCAGTCACACAAAGCTGATTATAAACTGGCTAAGTTAACCCAAGGTTTACCCTGGGGCGGTGTTAGCGGTATCTGACTAATCTAAAAGGCAGTTTCATGGCTCATTTTTCATTTTTCTTCCACAGAAAATGATCCCTATGAGTGTCACCTGCTCCAATCAGAGATTTTATCAGATGATAAAATGGTGATCAAAAATCTATAAAGAACAAGAACTCGTGAATCTGTGATTTAGCGCACAGACCAGTAAAATTAACATTTAACTCAAATTATTTGATCACAGAGTTCGCTTTCAGTCCTGCTGTAAAAGAGAAATATTACCTAGATTTATTCATTTCTTTGGACAGAGATCCTATAAAACAAAAGTAATCACAAAAATGTAGCTAACAGAAAACCGAAAATAAATAATGTCACATCTAAGAATCTGTATTCACTACTGATCGCTGTATTCTGGAGACCTGATTGGTCAGCAGGCAGTAATTACAAACCTGCTGATCGCTTATGTGGAAAGTAGAATACGTCACCATTAGGGATGGGTATCGAAAACCGGTTCTTGTTGAGAACCGGTTCCCACTGTTTCAATTGCTTTGAATTGTTTGCCATTTTTGCAATCGATTCCCTTATCGATTCCAGTCGATGACGTCACCACGTTGCGGAGCGTCATTTACCTGGCAGGAAACACGGCGGCTCAAACGCTCAAAAGTTTGGTTATACTTTACCAGAACGGATGACAACAGGGCAACTTGCAATACTTGCAAAGTAGAGATGTCATTTAAGGGAGGAAACACTACGAATATGCAAAAGCATTTGCTCACAAAACACACGATGACCTTAAATGAATGTCGTGTTTTTAATTCCGCTCCGGACTCGTGAATCTCAACCCAGCAGCAGCAGTAACGTTTGCACGTCCCCTCCCGTTAATCCGGCAGGTAAATAACTAACAGTGCATATTATGTTAGCGCGATCTGCCTTATTACAAAACTTGCCATTACTGTGCATTTAG